AGTTGGAGACGTTCTGAAGGATGTGAAAGGAATTTTTTTTTTTAAATGAATGACAAGACAAAAACCTGACCATCATTCATTTTATTGCACTCAGCAACAAAAGGAGGGGAAACGAGGGAAAAAGGGGTGAAAGAGGGACAATTGAAAACATAAAATTAAAAAATTTGAGGGGGAAATATTTAACAAAACTGTTTAAAAAATACTTTTTTTTTCCATTTTGAACCTTGCAAAACAGAAACAACTTCAAAATTTCTACCTTTTTTGCAACCGTTTTTCCACTTTTCATTCAGCTCTAATTATCTCCAACATTCTCCATCTTCTTCTGAATTTGTGACAACTGCTTATACTGCAGAGCCTGGCTGCACAAGTATCCTGGGAATTAATGCCATGTTAGCCCCTACACTGTCCTCCTCCTAAGGCAGATCAGAATTACTCATCCCATCTGAGAGACTGATATCCCTTTCTGAATCCTCTCCTCAATTTGACTGGCTAGATAAGACATATCCTCAGGACTCCTTCCCCAAAGCAACCAGCACCAGCTACAGTAAAGAGTCAACGCTATAGATCAAAGCCTTCTAGCTTCCTGTATACCCCCCTGGACACAGACAAACCTCACTGGACCCAGCAAGACCAATCCAGATTAATTTGTTGTTACCAGTTACTCAGAAAATTGTTTTCCTGGTGACCAAGTAAAAATAAAAGAAAGCAAAATAACACAATATAACAGTAACAACCAAACAAAAAACAAACCCAGAACCAATTAGGTGCATCTGTGGTCTGTAACTTATTCTGTGACTCATCATTTAAGACTGCCTAGCTTTTCTCAAAGATCAAGGGCTCCTTTGTGGAGTACCCTACCAAGGTTTCTCAAACTTAATTGCACCGCGACCCTATCTGACAACAAAAATTGCTACACGACCCTGGGAGTAGGGGCCAAAGCCGAAGCCCAAGGCCTTCAGCCCCAGGCGGGGTGACTGTACCTGAACCCCACCTGCCACCCAGGGCTGAAGCCCAAGGACTCAGGCTTTGGCTCTGGGCGGTGAGGCTCAGGCTTCAGCCCCGGGCCCCTGCAAGTCTAACATCAGCCCTGGCAACCCCAGGGGTCCTACTTTGAGGTCGTGACTCACAGTTTGAGAACCACTGCTATAAGCAAAGCTATATAGACATAGCACAAATCTGATATCGTGGTATTGCCACAAGGTGACAGTATTACATCAAATCTATGAAGACAGTATGTTTTATTTTTCTGATTCTCCCCTGCATACTGTATATCAGAAATAAAAGGAGAGTATTTTGCCTGCAATTGGTATTCCATTGTTTATTAGTCTCTGGGGGATGGAAATTGTCTAGGTCCACATTTTTTGTACAGTTTTACTCATGAGCATTTGTCTTCAATTGCACCACCCTGTGTGCCTTGAAAATACATTCTTGTCTAATCATCTCTCTCATGTTTATGGGTGCCCATCACTATAATATCTGTTATTTACCCAGTCCTTCAATAAGTCCATGTAACACAAATCCCCCTAGCAACCTTAGCAGAGCTAACAATGTAGCTTATTGTATAAAAATAAACAAATTGCTAATGGACTGAAACTATCTTCATTGCCAGTATTCATTTTCTTCTTTATTGTTATTTCCTCTGGGGAAAGATTTTTTGTAGCTCTGACACAATTTTTAAAATGCTGGCATTTTTCTCTGTACCATGTTATCTGAATACTTTCTGTTATACTTTAACAGTTTCAGATTAGCTGGTGGTGTGCTAAGGTATTTCTAAAGAGAACTGCTCTAAGTTTTTAAATTAAACAAATCTTTAAGATGAAAAAGTTATATCCTTTGATAACTCCCAAACTGCTGGCCACAAACAGGATCCCTTGGTATTGATTAAAAATACATATTTCATGAATGACTCTTTCTTGCGAAATATATTTGCTAATTGTCAGCAGTGGTCAGCAGTGAAGTTACTGATATTCCCTCAGTATTCATTAGTACATTAATAATAACAAGTTTGTTTACTATTAGAGGGCATTTTAACTTCTTCTTTCCATGACACCCAAACCACCCATCTTTTTTTTTATGTAATTTCCACCTCCCATAATTTTTTGCATTGTTTCAACAAATTTGAGAAATTAAAATGTTGTAACACCCAAACATAATAATTTAATTTTAAAAAACTGTGCCATATATTGACAAAATAGATATTACATTATATTAATATACATTTTATAAGTTCATGTTCTACCAATATAAAAATAATATTTTATACTAGAAATACGTATTAATTGCATATTTCCCAGTATTTTATAAACCTAATTATTGCTGTGACTTACCTTTGGAAGTTTGTTCTCACAATCAGATGTCTGGAAACATAATTATTTTAAAGATATCTTAGATATGATAGAAAATGTTATACTCCTCAGAAGATAGCTTTATAACCTCCTTGGGAGTCATAGGCACCTGTGTAAGAATACTTAGCCTTTTGTATGGTCACTTTATAGGAATCAATCAATCCTTTGATCTGGTCTTAATAAGAAAAAAAAGCTCATTTGCTGTTATTGGAGTGATTTTTACCAGTCTCTGTAAATTTAAGGCCAGAAAGGACCACTATGATATGCTCTAGTTCAAAAGGAATTATTTTGGGGGAGTTCTATGGCTTGTGTTATACAGCAGATCAGATTTGATTATCAGACTGGTCCCTTCTGGCTGTGGAATCTATGCATCACCTAGTCTGACTTTCTGCATAACACAGGCCATAGACTCTCACCTGGGGATACCTACAGTGAAGGGAATTATTCTTAGACCCAAGGGTAGACATCTGTACTATAATAAAAACAATTCCCTTTATTTTAATGTTCATTTAAAACCTTGGATCTTGCACAGCTGGGGCCTGATCCGACTCTCACTGAACTCAACAGAAAGATGCCCACTGACTTCAATAGGCTTTGGCTCAGGCCCTTGCTGTCTAGATCTGCCTCACCCTGGTATATATTTGATTAGCTTTTGAATGTTTATATTCTGAATACACATCCCTTCCAACATATTTCCTCATCATAAACTAGTCTGGGAACTTCAGTCTCAAACACAACTGATTTCTGGCAAGTTGCCTCTGCTATCTCCATGTTGGAAATATTCTCCCTCTCTCTCTGGGATCTATCCTTCCTCCATCCATGAAGGCTACTGAGTACCTCATGGGAATCTCTGAACCTCTTCTTTCTGCTGCTCCCCACAGAGAAGTAAATAAGTGGGTTGGCAGTACTGTGGTGGTGGAGAACAATATAACCAGATCATTCAATAACACTGATTGATGCAGATATCATATGAGATACACGTGACTCAACGGCAGAGCAAAAACACAGAATATGATGACTAAGCTTATGACTACTCCAAGACTTTCGACAGGACTTAAAAACAAGAAGCAGGCTGGACCAAACTAAGAGGAGTGTGAACCCTAGGAAAATGAGGCTGTATATAGAAATTATCATTGCCAAGCACTTTCTCTTGGAGACATAATGGACATTCCCTGCATACATATCGATAAGGATAAAATAATCTGCTGCATTTATCAGGCATGAAAGAACCCACAGAAAGATACAAACACTAACTTTGGATAGTAGCATCAGTACCAGACCAGGATAAGAACAGAGAGACACATCTCAACAATAATGGCTGTTAGTCGCTGGAAACCCCGTTGGCCAACCTCTTCTCCTGGTTTTATAGATGGCCATTTTGGCCAGGGCTAGGAGGAGGTTGACAAGGAGGTCCCGCGACTTTGTGGGGCCACGGATGGGGTACAGCAGAGTAGTAGAAGGCAGATATACTGGCCACTGGATAAGCATTTTTCTGTTCCCTGACTGAGCAGAGCGGGGGCTGATCCAGGGTAGGCTAATGAGAACACCTGACTCCAATTAACCTGCAAAGAGTCAGGTGAGGCTGTTAAGCTAATGTGAACACCTGACTCTAATTAAGGCCCCTCTGAGAGTATAAAAGGGCTCACTCCAGTCAGGCCAGGGAAAGAAAAAAGGAGCCAGAGGAGAGGAAGTGCAGCTAAAGGGCTGGGTAATGAAGACACCCTCAAGCCACTGGAAAGGAAGCCCCAAGGTAACTGTGAAGAAGGTATTAAGAGAGAAGTGGGATTACTGTGGGGAAGTGGGCCAGAGAACTGTAGCAGCTCTGGCGGTGAAAGGTTGACAGTCAACAGCTGCTGCCACTAGGGTCCCTGGACCGGAACCCGGAATAGAGGGCGTGCCCGGGATCCCCCCAACCTGCCACTGCAGAAACACCTTCTGGGAGGGGAAGACAGGCCCCTGTCAGGACAGGAGGCTAAACTGTTCTTGAATAAGCCCATAGGGACAACAGAGACTGTGGGAGCTCTCTCACCAACCTCCTTGCTGGCTTATGATGAAAAGGGCTCAGTAGACTGTAACCCTGGCCCTAGAGAGAGAAGGGCTACGTGAAGGGTCGCAGTGAGCCTCTGAGGCTAGCATAAACCGCCTGGAAGCGCGGGACCCACAGGGACAAGGTCGGAGCTCTGCCACAGTTTAAATGTTGAAATTAGTGATCTACAAAATACAAATTAGAATTCTGGGATAGTAACATTTCTAAACAATTTATCAGCTCAGCTTTTTCTCATTCATTCAAATGAACTCTGAAGATATGACAAACATCATCAAAGTAAAATAAATCCTACAGTTTGCCCTTTAGAAAGTCTACATAATGGTGCTGGAAATAAGGCAGGAATATTCAATTCAGTATTACAAAATTCTGAATTTTAAAGACATCAAGAGTTTTGCTTGCAGTTGAAGCTAAGTAATATTAGGAAAAATATGTATGTTTCTCCCCTGAAATATAATAACCTCTTTCTGCCACATAAAAGAGATAAAACCTTTCCCTCTATTTAAGAAGTGTTTACATTACTTTCCCCCTCACACTACTTCACTTTACACTTGTACATGACTGAACTTTAGAGCTAGCTCTGAAGCAGCTGTTTGAGGAACGTTGCCTCCTTAACAATCTGGCTCTGACCAATCTTTGAATACTCTGGAAAGAATTACTTTGAAGGGTTTATTGATTATCTTCTTCTTGCGGCTCCCCCCAAAGTAATAAATGAGGGGGTTGGCACTGCTGTTGATTGCAGATATTAACGTTAAGAGGTCATCCAGTACTGTTGAAAGTACTGAACTATACTGATGCTGCAGGAGGCACAAAATCCTCATGGGCAAGGCAAAGATGAGGAAGATGATGACTGTAGCCACTATGATTATGTAGAGCTTTGAAGAATGAGATCACTGGGTTTTTTTATAGATCTTCATGACCAGGATCAAGCTGGATAGAATCATGAGTGGAGTAAACAACAAGAAACTCAGGATGGAAATGATGATGATCATTGCCTGGCATAAAGATATGCCTGGCATATTTCCCTGTAATTTTCTAATGGTGTATCTGTTAAGGTATCTGTGCACACAAGATATTCTGCTGCAGTGACCAGACAGGAAAAAGCCCACAGAATGGCACACGCAGTAGCTGATTGGTGCTTTGGGCAATGACATCAGTACCAGATTGTATAATGTACAGATAAACACCTCTCAATTCTCAACATGGCTGCTCCATGCAAACCTCCTCCCAGTACAGACATGTCTCCATCTGTTTCTCACACAGGGCCAGTTCAGGCAATGCTGCCAAACCTAAGGTCTCCTGGGAATTCTGGACCATGGAGACCTCACTCTGCACAGGAGAGATTGTAATAAAAGTGAGATATTTCCTACTCTAGTGCCATATGGCGTGGAGTACAAGCTATTTCTCAATACCAATCCTTATTGAACATGCTTCCTATTGCTCACCCTGTTCCTGACCCAATTCGTGGACAGTTCACAGCTCCTGTCACTAGCTGGCATGGCAGAGAAGTCTGAGGTAAGTCCGGGGGAGGGACAATGTTGCACACTGGATTTCGGTCCTTGTAACCAGGAGCCCAATCAAATGGCTTTAGACGGGGGCCCAGATTTGCTAGAGCTGCCCCCTGCCCTTCCATTCTTTCTTATGGCATTTCTCACTGGCGACTAGTGCCCAAAATAAGTGGTGGAACTGCAGGTTGTAATCTGCCCCTGCCCACTCCCGTGCGCGCATCCTCCTCCCCTGCAGGATCATCATATTTCAAAGTGAAAAATTGGGAGAGGAGGTTGCCATAAGGCACTTTTGGTAGGGTATAAGGGATGCTGGTGAGGAGCTGGGAAGATACAAGGGTAACCTTGCCTTTCCCACAGCCCCTTTCTCTTTGATAATGAAAAACTGGAGCACTTTACAGTAAATGGAAGAGAGGGGGAAATAATATTAATTCCTCTGTGACCCATTCTCCATTCTCTCTCATTCTCAACATCTGTCCCTACAGTCCCCCGGTCTGCCCACACACCACTACCAATTCACCCATACCCTCCTTCCGCAACTGACTCCATTCCTCTCCTGCAGTCAACCCTGCCAGCGCGGCCCATCTGTATCCTGGCTCAAACCGCCTCGAATCCCTGCAGCTCCCTCGAGCCAATTGGCACCCGCTCAGAAATTCACACATATTAGGGTTGCCAGGCGTCCGGGTTTCTAACGGAATGCTCGGTCGAAAAGCGACCCTAGCGGTTCCAGTCAGCACTGTTGACCTAGCCGCTAAAAGTCCAGCTCCCTGCCTGCCCTGGCTCTGCACAGCTCTTGGAAGCATCCTAGGCGGGGGGCGGCCAGGGAGGCTCCGCACACTGCCCCTGCCCCAAGTGCTGGCTCTGCAGCTCCCATTGGCCAGGAAACGCGGCCAATGGGAGCTGTGGGGGCAGCACCTGCAGGCATGGGCAGCACACAGAGCCCCCTGGCTGCCTCTCCGCCTAGGAGCCGGACATGCCGGCTGCTTTTGAGAGCTGCCTGAGGTAAGCCCAGCTGGAGCCCGCACCCCGCACCCCCTCCTGCACCTCAACCCCCAGCCCCAGCCCTGCACCCCCTCCCACACGCAAACTCCCTCCCAGAGCCCACACCCCGCACCCTCTCCTGCACCCCTACCCCAGCCCTGAGCCCCCTCCTGCACCCCAAATCCCTCATCCCTGGCCCCACCCCAGAGCCCGCACTCCCAGCCAGAGCCCTCACCCCCTCCCACACCCCAATACCCTGCCCCAGCCTGGAGCCTCCTCCTGCACCCTGAACCCCTCATTTGTGACCCCACCCTGGAGCCCTCACCCCTTCTACACACCAACCCCCTGCCCCAGCCTGGTGAAAGTGACTGAGGGTGGGGGAGAGCAAGCGATGGAGGGAGGGGGGATAGAAAGAGTGGAGGTGGGGGCTTGGAGGAGAGGCAGGGAAGGGGCAAGGCCTTGGGGAAGGGGTAGGCGCAGGGCAAGGATGTTCAGTTTTGTGCTATTAGAAAGTTGGCAACCCTAACACATACCCTTGTCCTCCTAGGCTGAGAACCCCTCTTCTTCCTACCTAATCTCTCCACAGCTCAGAACCAGGCCCTCAGCTCTGGACCCTATCCCACCCAATAAGCTCAAGATCAGAACAATTTCCCTTCTATCTTACCAGTATGCATACAAAACTCTCAGAACCCTTTCCCCTTCTACCTGATACCCACCATCACCACCAGGCCCCTCTTCCCCAGCTCAAAAACCTTCCTCTAGCTGCTGCTGAACCTGGAGGAGCAGGTGCAGAAGCAGCAGGCAAGGACTGTGCCAGCAGCAAACATGTTCAGGGAACCCTATTCTGCCTCTTTTGAAGTGAGACTGATCACTGGCTCTGCATAAACGGGTGCTCCATATTCTGTGCCTCTAGGGCTGAAGATTGCAGAGATTGCTGTCCTCTGCCTCTTTGGGGCAAACCTGACTTAAGACCAGTGATTTCCCTACACACACACCCCTGAATTTCCCCAACCCCTCCCCCCCCCAGTTTTGTGAACTAGTTACATGCCAATATAGTGATTGTTTGGAAATTTGAATTGAAATTGAAACATTAATACACACTTCAAAAGCATATACAGTGTATGATAAAATACGTGTATCTGAAAAAGTATAATAGATTTGAAAAGTATGAACATAGACTAGCTTCCTTATACAGCTGTTGTTTTTTATGACAATGTCAGTGCATTCATTTCAATGATGTTGGCCAACCTAATAATTTCAAATGATGATTTGTAAGCAAAGTCTAAATGAGCTGTCCCTGACAACTAGAGATGAGCTAGGGCTGGGGGGAAAGGCTTCAGGACCAGATTGTATTTACATTCACACTTAATCTACCTAGGTATCCAGGAAACAGAGCTGTGTTGCCCAAGTGATAGATTTTGGCTGGGGTTGGGTTAGAAATCACTTGGATGGTGGGGAGGGGGGAATGAAATGTTGTTGTTCTTATTGTATGAGTAAAGAGCAGTAGAACTGTACTTAGCCTGTGCTGATTGAGGGCATCAAGAGAGAGGGTGGGGACCTGTCCCTCTCCACTGTTTTAAAGACAGAGCTGATTAGGCTCCATAGATAGTCTTTTGTTCTGTTAAGTGACCACTGCAGCTGAAATCACTGATAATCAGGTCTAAGTGCTCAGTCTTGCTGTGGGGACAGTGTTTCTGTGGAAGAGACGGCCCAGACTGCACTAGCAGCGAGGTTCTCCCACTGAGAGCTCAGCTGAAATCACTGAGAACTGGGTGGAACCTCAAGAGACCAACTCGCAGAGGTCACAGTGGCAGGTGGCAGCAGAAGGTGACTGCGCAGGGCCATTGGCAACAGAGTGGTGGAGTGAACGGTGGCACAACGAACAGCAGTGGCCAGAGCGAACAGTGAGCAGATGGAGGAACGAGCAAGGTGCCTTCTTGCCCCCCACCTGGGAGGTGTACTCACGTGAAAGCACCTCTGAACTCTGAGTCTCCTCCACTGACCAAGGACAACACCGGTGAGTGGGGTGCGGTGGAGGGGAAAGTGAGGGGCACGTTAAATAAACATTTGTTTGTTGGACTATATTTTAGTGACTTTGCTCCAGAATGCTAGATTTGTGACTGAGAATGGAAACTTATATAAATATGTTTCCTAGTAGGCCAAGATTTTTAAAATGCATTATTTGCCAAGGTTGTTATCTCACATCGTTGCTATCTTGAGAGGTCATTACGTTGGGGAGTTTCTGTACTAAACTTTTTTATTATTATAATTAATTTTTACATAAGAATGGTCATACTGGGTCAGACCAATGGTCCATATAGCCCAGTATCCTGTCTTCCAACAGTGGTCAAGGCCAAGTGCTTCAGAGGGAATGAACAGAACAGGGAATCATCAAGTGATCCATCCCCTGTTGCCCATTCCCAGCTTCTGGCAAACAGGCTAAGGACACTCAGAGCATGGTGTTGCATCCCTCCCCATCCTGGCTAATAGCCACTGATGGACCTGTTCTCCAGGAAGTTATCTAGTTCTTTTTTTAATCCTGTTATAGTTTTGGTCTTCACAGCATCCCCTGGCAAAGAGTTCCATGGGTTGACTTTATGTTGTGTGAAGAAGTACTTCCTTTTGTTTTTTTAAAACCTGTGGCCTATTAATTTCATTGGGTGACTGCTAGTTCTTGTGTTATGTGAAGGATTAAATAACATTTCCTTATTCACTTTCTTCAAACCAGTCAAGATTTTATAGACCTCTATCGTCTCTTTTCTAAGCTGAAAATTCCCAGTCATTTTAATCTCTCCTCCTGTTTCATACCCCTAATCATTTTAGTTGCCCATCTCTGTACCTTTTCCAATTCCAATATATCTTTTTTGGGATGGGGTGACCAGATCTGCACACAGTATTCAAGGTGTGCACGTACCATGGATTTATATAGCAGCAATATGATATTTTCTGTCTTATTATCTATCCCTGTCTTTGGTTTTTTGACTGCCGCTGCACATTGAGTGGATGTTTTCAGAGAACTATCCACAATGACTCCAAGATCTCTTTCTTGAGTGTTAACAGCTAATTCAGACTCCATCATTTTGTATGTATAGTTGAGATTGTTTTCCAATGTGCATTACTTTGCATTTATCAACATTGAATTTCATCTGCCATTTTGGTGCCCAGTCACCCAGTTTTGTGAGATCCCTTTGTAACTCTTCGCAGTCTGCCTGAGCCCTAACTATTTTGAATAGTTTTGTATCATCTGCAACTTTTGCCACCTCATTGTTTACCCATTTTTCTAGATCATTTATGAATATGTTGAACAGTAATGGTCCCAGTACCAACCCCTCAGGGATACCACTATTTATCTCTCTCCATTCTGAAAACTGATAATTTATTCCTACCCTTTGTTTCCCATCTTTTAACCAGTTACTGATCCATGAGAGGACTTCCCTCTTATCCCATGATGGCTTACTTTTCAAATGTCAATTTAAATTAAATACATTTTTTTTAAAAAATTATATTTTTTTAGAAATCTAGACCTGCTATGTGTTTTGGTATAACTTGCATTATCCTTATGTTAAATTTGCATTATCCTAACAAAACATTTACTTTATTCATATCTCTTTTATATATCTCATCGGCCCTGACATCCCCCCTGTATATTCGAACACCCTCCCCTAATTTCAAATCCTGGGGAAACCACTGCTTAAGACTCAAACAAGCCTTCACCCCTCTTCTCTAATTAGTTTCTCTGCTGCCTGTGCGGCAG